AATGACAAATTAGTATGTGTAATGGAAAGCAAAGCCCACCAAGTCTTAATGTCTTCCGGATTATCAACCACTTGGAGAACCTCTTAAAAACTTAGGACTTTTCCTCCAGAAAACAGTACATATATATTTTTTAATGTAATTCTGGGGAATCTCCCGAAGTCCTTAGCCAACTGAAGAGAATGAGACTAAAAAAAGGGCTTTCAAGTTCAAGTTTCCAGCTGAATCAATCTGGTCGCCTACCACACTGTAACAGGGTGGTCCCCAGGAAAGGGGGAGGTTCCAGGTTTCCTGCCCCACCCAAGGGAGGGTGGAGCTGAGCAGGGAGAGAAGAAGCTGCAGGAGACTGAGAAAGGAAGCAGGATGGAGCCAGAAGGAGACCTGGAGGAGGCACATGGAGCCTAGAGACACATGAAGAAACTGTGCTTGTCTTTTGGTCGCGGACTGGGTGACACAGATGTGGGTGAGACCTGTGGGGAGGTGACAATGGCAGCTTTTATCTTGATTTTGATCTTTTCCTTCCGGGCTTGTCTGGTTGTTTCTGACCCTTTTCTGTGGGTCCCCACTGGAAGATGCTTTAGACTTGTGGCAGGCTTTGGGGCCTTGCTCTGGGCCGATCCCCTATGGATGGGACCCACGAGGGGATGGGTAACTTTGGGTGCTTCATTTAGAAACTAGATTCTTTGCCTTTCCTGTATTGTTTCCTAGTTTTATTAAAGTTCCTTCCCATTAAAGTCTCATATGTTTTGTGTTGATGTGGCGGATGGCAGAACCCATTTAGAATAGGCAGGTTTGAGGGGTTTGGGCTTCCCCTCTCCCTGTCCTGTAACAACACTACAACAAAAAGACAAAAACCAGCCATGTATCCACCACCCACCACCACCCACCACCACCACAACAAGAAAATCAACCAGTCAAAACAAGCAAACCACAATCTTCTCTTCAGGAAAAAGATCAGCCTTAGAGCAGAGGTTAGATACACTCTATCAAGGGTTTCCCTGCTCACATGCACACATCTGTAACCAGGTTATTATTGCCTCATTGTTAATGATAACATCTCTTAAGGAATGTTATACATTTGAGGAAAGGCTGTCACATGAAAGAAACATAAATTAAAAAAAAAAAGTCTTGGAAGAAAGAAAGAATCTAGGTAATGGAACAGGGGGAAAACACATCTGTGCCTCTACCTATAAAACTTCCAATAAGTATTCGCAGAAATAGCTAAGAAAATGGGCATCCAGGGGCCTCCCTGGTGGCACAGGGGTTAAAGACAGTGCTATCAAACTACTACCAGCCACTACTGCATGACTTCGACCCCAGTAGAGCCAGGGAGCTAACTCACATGGTGCAGCAGACCTCTCCTATCTTGCCTGCTGCTTCCCTCAGCAGTGTATTTCAGTACATCTGCCTGTTCTGCTCCCCACTCTCTCTGGTGAATCTTCTCACCCTCCCCGCCATGCCCACACCTCTGGCCTACACCCCAGTTCTTGCATGCATGCATAAATCTTAAAAAAAGAAAGAAAGAAAATGGGCATCCAAAACAAGTGTTAATATGAAAAATTAATAAGCTTAAAACAAGAGGTCCTGACATTTATCACCAAAATTTTAAAATTTAATAGAAAGGGTTCAAAGGTAAAGTCAAGGAAATTTCCCAGAATACAGAATAAGAAGGAAGCCCTGAGCCAACATACAAGAAACCCATCTAGTCTTAAGGTAGCATGCAGGAAAGGTCAATATGAAGAGACCACAGAAAGAAAGAAGGAGGGGGGGAGAGGACAAGAGAGGAGAAGAGAGGAGAGGGAGAGAAAAAGGAGAGAGGGGGAGCAGAGGATAGAGAAAGAGAATATGAACGAACTGAAGAAACTTCCAAGTTCAGGTGGTAGACCTATTGGTGAGTCTTCGGATTTGTGATGTCCAATATGGTAGCCATGAGTGACATGTAATTGTTTAAACTTAAAATAATTAAAATTTAATAAGATTTAGAAAGCTGTTTCTTGATCACATCAGTAGTATTTCAAGTGCACCATAGCCCTGCGTACAATTTCTACTATACTGGACAGAGAAAATAGAGACCATTTTTATCATCAGAGAAAGTTCTAGTGAATAACATTGCTTCAGCTAATTCTATCCCAGCCTTCAAACTCCCCGCCTTCCCCAACCCAGACCAGCCCCAATGCAGTCAATGTGTGGTGAAGAGACAAGCTATCCCACTGAGCCCCAAATAGAATGAAAATTCATGAGCAAAATAAATGTTATTTTCAGTCACTGATTTTTGGGATGGTTTGCTACCTAACCATAGCAAAAGAAACACAAGGAAAGTACAGCTAAGAATGTGCAGTAATCGGTTGGGGTTCTGGAGTCCATAAACTAGTCAAATGGTGGAACTAATCACACTTTACTTCCACATCCGATAAGCATTTGTGAACAAGCAAACAGGAAAATCCTCAATACTTGAGCCATTGATATTTTTATCCTCAAATACTATGCTACTTTGTACCAAAAGAGTTGTCTCTACTACTCTAGGAAAAGATTTGATGATTCCTATTGAAAGAATAACAGGAATGTGAAAAATATTAGCATCAGATAATTAATGGTTAAAAAGAAGTCCCAGCTTCTTTTCAATGAGTTTACTAGAATAATCATTTAACAGGTGATTCACTTGACGTTACAATTTTTATACTTTTTTCTCCAAGTGTTTTGTCAGTCTTTAAAATATTTTTAACTAAAAAGTGAAACCAAGAACAATTATTAACCAAAGTTTTCTCTTTTAAATTCTCCCTTAGAAAGTAAGATACTTTAAATAAATCCAATTTTTAATTATTTGAACTAATGGAAATTATAGATTTGGAGAATCAAAAACCATTTGGAATTTAAGTGAATTTCCACATAAACATGAATATAGCATCTGCTAAAAGACTTTATTTGTAATAATGAATAATGAAGCTACACTAAAACAATCTGGGAAGTAGCACAGATTCCCATATGATCATAGCCCAAAGATGGACTTCATATGAAAATCATCAAACTTTCAGGAAGCTCAAGGCTAAGCAGATGTGCCAAACCAAAACTCCCATATATAAAATTAGACAATATTAAAAAATTAGTTAATTTTAAAATTGCTAATAACTATGTTTTAAAGAGTTCTTATCTTTAAGCTAGGGCACAGATAATCAAACTTTGATTAAGCAGTAGCAGGAATTTTTTTTCTTTTTAGAATTATTTATTTATACATAGAAGAACTCGGGTATAGGCAAGGTGTGGTGGGGGAAAAGGATTCACCAGAGACAGAATGAGGAGCAAAACAGGCAGATCTACTGAAATATACCACTAAGGGGAGCAGTGAGCAAGATAGGAGAGGACTGCTACCCGGTATGGGGGTTAGCTCCCTGGACAGGGATTGACTCAGACTGTGGAGGTGATAGCGCTGAGACTTAACCCCAGCCACCAAGGAGGCCCAGCAGGAATTTTCTTGAAATTAAAACAGAGCTCGGGTGGACAGCAGGGGAGTAATGATGAGGTAACAATTGCTGTAACTGCTGATGAGTAGTTCATTATACTCTGCTCTCTTCTATTTATACTGAAAACATCTATAGAAAAAAAAATTAAAAACTAATCAACCAACCAAATCTCGTCAAATATTTGCTCTGAAATACAAAATAAGAGATGGTGGCAAACTACACCAACATAAAGGTCGCACCTCCTAGAATTTCAGTGATTAATGAAGGACCAAAATGTCACAAATAAGCACAAAATACCTCTGAACTATAAAAATCATGACCATGTCCAGTATATATACATAATTACTCTCATGTCAGGATTAATCAAGAAATAGCTGACTCATACTTCACAGAGAATTCTAGTATGTTTGGTTACTGTGAAGTTCTTGGCCAACAGTCAATAACTAGAAGGGAGCTTAATAAAGACAGACACACAAAAGGCACAAGACTGCTAATGATCTAACAGGATGGGAAGAGAGAAACACTATATAATACATGAGGTTCACCACTAATTAACACAACTTTATAGGGCGTAATAACCTGTATGTTTAGTAGAAAGGCTTATACATTTCAGTCAAACACAGACAACGTTTCATAGCCACTGATTAACTATATGAATCTAGTCAAGTTACTTTACTTTCCTCCTCAGAAATATGAGGGCAGGGCAGTAGCTACATCATTGATCTGGCCTTTATGACTGAAAAAAATAATTGTCAAGTATCTTGAACACAGATTCCCTTGTCCCAATCAATAACTTGACTGCAATCTGGATATAGATTTGAGCCAGAAGCACCCAGCTCAACTGCTCCCAGATTCCCAACTCTCACAAAATAAAAAAATGGACCCTTAGAACAGATTAGCGGAGAACTGAAGAGTAAGGAATGAGGGTGGGTGAAACACAAAGGTCAATTGTATGGTGATGGATGGAAACTAGACTTCTAGTAGTGATTATGATGTAGACATATGTTGAATTATAATGTACAAGAGAAATGTACATAATGCTGTAAACCAATGTTACTGCAATAAAACTTTTTTTAAAAATAGAAAAGTTTTCTGTGTGAAATAATGTTTACTGCACTAAGTTGCTACTTTTGGGAGTAATTTGTTACACAGAATAGACAACTACCATATTATACTTATGATACAATTCATTCACCACTTAGCTAATTTTTCTTCTAAATATAGTAATGAACCCTCTTTGCTATGTAAACTAGCTTATACAAGAGAGTCCTTCAAATTATCTGAGTGCTCATCACTTTGTGATGGCATGTTTATAAAGCAGGATATTATTTTGGTACTGAACTTCTTGAATTAGAACCTGCTTGTATGCAAACAATTTGTGGGGGCAAAACTCCAAACCAGTGCATCATGTGGTTCAGTACCTCAAGCCCAGACCTAATATTCAAGCTTTACACTATATTACATATATGCTCTCTCTATATGTGTGTGTTCTATATTTGCTCTACTAAATATATTAGTATTAATAAAAAGTACACTTAGTCCTACCTGAATGAGGCATTTGCTCACATCACTAGCACAAAGTGCTTTGTTACAACTCAGTGACACAGGGACCCAAGTCAGGAACACCAGGATGGCTAGAGTAAGCATAATAACAGAGTATGACTTCATGTTTCTTCAAAAATGCAACTTCCAGGAAGCTAAACAAACAAAAAAGGGAAAAGAAAAAAAAAACTTTAAAGGCAAATGTTAGAATAAAAACAAATAGAAAAATAAAGAACAAGTAAATGAAGACTCACTGTGTTTAAAAGACTTTCGAATGATCATCTAATGATCATTCTAATGGAAGATTAAACATTTTTTTTTTTTTTTAAAGTGACAGTCTTTTATTTATTTATTTATTTGTTTGTTTTGTTTATACAAGCACTGGGTACAGTCAGAAGCGCGGGAGGGTGAGAGAATCCACCAGAGCCAGAGCGGGGAGCAGAACAGGCAGAAGGACCGAAGTACACTGCTGAGGGGAGCAGCGGGCGGCAGGAGAGGTCTGCGCGCCATGTGGGACCCTCCTCCGGTGGCCGGGAAGCAGCCGGGGATCGAACTGGCGCCGCAGAGGCCGCGGGCAGCTTCGCAACCCAGCGCTCAACCGCTGCGCCACCGGGGAGGCCCGGAAGATTAAACATTTTTAAAAAAACTACAATCCTATATATTTGTCTCATTAGTCATCTTCCAAGATCTAGAATGAAATCCTCCAACCACCCCAAAATGGGGCTATACGAGTTAAAGTGAAAATACACACAATTCACTTATAAATACTACATATTAGAACATAATATGTTCTTTATATATGTATATTCATGTATATAAACCCTCAGTAACCTGAGAGTATATCAAACAAGTAACTAGTTTCAATACTACACTGCCACTATTCAACGTTACTTTTAGGCCATAATTCAACTTTTAACCCATATAAAAATAAGCAATATTATATTATAATTCAAGAAGTTAACAAAATTTTAATTGTTAGAATTAATACAAATATATAAAATGCAAATTATTCTAGTGATTATGATTATCTTATTTTGTCATTTAACTTAATTAGCTAGAATAAAGTACCTCAAAGAAAGGAGTGGACAGTCATTCTTTAAAAATTTTACCAAAAAAGGGGGGGGGCAGCAAATAATTACATTAATAACTTTGGGTAACTTACTAAAATCTGGAGATATTATTCTAAGTCTATTGATACCATAGATTCAAAGTTGCTAATATGGCAGTTCAAAAAGAAAAAGGAAAAAAGACCAGCAGAAATTCTGACAGTGGTTAAACAACCAACATGGTTATTACACTTTCAAAAAAGAGAAGATAAATTGCTTGGGGTTAAAAAATACCCCCAAAAGAGAATTAATTTAAATAAACGACTACTGATGTAGAGGGATGAAAACTGGGTTTATGGGCCTTTATGATTACCGTAAAGTTTTATTAAGCACAATATGAATATTACGAAGTACAATAAAGCAGGTGAGAATAAAAGGCTTTATAATAGGCATGACTCAATTTTGAAAAAGAAAGCCCTGATGATTGTCTCTGAGGCCCACAAACTATTCCCTAAAGACTGTGAGCAACCCAGTTTTCCCATTTATTGAACAACAAATACCAATTCAGTTGATTTCTGAAGCCACCAGTATGTGGAGGCCAAAAGCGGCACTTGAAAGCCAAATTTGCCAGACTGGTTTTCATCCTACCACAACTAAAAGGGGGGATTTTCTTCAAGTCTTACGGCTGTTTCCTGACATATTTAATAAACCATCCCGCTCCCGAAATCCAACTGGAAAAAGCATTTGAGTTAAGACGGGCAAGCACAACTCAGGTAACTAAACGACCGAAAGCGCGTCCCTCCTGACTGAGGAGCCTGACAGACCCCCGCGTCCCGCCGCGCGGCTCTCCGGGCCGGGCCCCCGCGGGCGCCGGGCGGGCAGTGCCAGCAGCAGCCTTTGTGCCGCGCCGGGGAGCCCGCGCCGCCCGGCCGGGAGGCGGAGGCGCCGGCGGCACCGGGCGGGTCTTCGCCCCACGGAGGTGCCGCCCGCTCGCCGCCCCCCGCCGCCCCCGCCTGGGCCCGCGCCCAGCACCCACCCGCGGCGGCCCCCACGTCGCTCCCGCGTGGGCGGGGCCCTGGCCTCCCGCGGGCAGCGCGGCTCTCCCGGCCCCGCGAAGTCCGCGGGGCCGCGGCCTCGGCTTTCAAGAGGCCCCAGCTCGGGCCCGGCCCCTCCCCGGCCGCAGAGGCTGCCCCCGCCTGGTCCCGCTCACCGTGAGCCGCGGCGCCGCCTCCCGTTCGTTCCCCGGCGGGTCCGCGGAGCCCCGGGCGCGCCGCGAGGCTGTGCGAGGAGGCAGGCCGCGCCCCCGGCCGCCCCTCCGAGCAGCGCCCGCGAGCCCCGGGCGCCTTAAAGACACAGGCCCGCCCGCGGCCTCCTCCCGGCTCCCGACTCCCCGCTCTCCCTCCGCCCTCGCTGGGGTCCCGGCCGCCGCAGCTCCCGCCGGGAGGCGTCTCTCACTCCCCCAGCGCTCGCGTCAGCACACGCCCCCCGCCCGCGAGCGGCCCCCGCCCCGGCCCGGCTCCGCCCCCGCCGAGGGCCCGCCCCCGCCAGGTCTCGGCCCCGACCCCGACCAGGCCCCGCCCCCGCCCTCCCCGGCCGAGGCCTGCCCCCCGCCCCCGCCCGGCCCGCCCCCGCCCGGCCCGGCCCGCCCCCGCCCACCTCGAGCTGCGGCCTCGCCTGCCCGGCGTGGAGGCCGCACCCCGGGTCGCCCTCCGGTCACGCCCACCAGCCGCACCCCCGCCCCAGCCCCAGCGGCACACCCACCCCGTCGCCCACGCGCGCTTCTGCTCAGCCTCCCCCCGCCCCAGCCCGCTCCCTTTGTCCTCCTGCCACAGGCTCCAGCAGACCCTCCGGTCAGGCCCATTCTCTGGGTTCCTTCTGAAGAGCTTTCAGGTCAACGCGCACTGGTGATTCAAGACCCCTCATGTGCAGTCACAGGGTGAGGACACGCCGTGCAGGAGGTGCCTGACAGCTGCTGCAGCCCGGTGAGGGCATTGCAGCGATGCAGCACTGAGGCTGCGGCTCCGGCGCCTGAACAAGCGAGCCTGTTAAGCAGCTGAGCGGACACCTGAACCCTTGCTCTTTGACGTGAGGCAGGATCCATGCAAAATGCAGGTTTCCAGATCTATGTCAGGTCTACTGACTAAGGATCCGCAGTAGTAGAGTCTGCTGAATTTTCATCAGCTGTTCACTAAAATTCGCTTCACCCTCAGGGACTGCCTGGCACTGTGCATAACATTGGAAATGGAAGGAAAGAGGGTCCACTAGGTCTGTCGTAGGCAAGGCTGGAGCAGGAGTCCAGTTAAGCAGTGGAGATGGATAGAAACCATAAGGCTTGGTGACAAAATATCAATAGATGCGGGAAGATGTAGGAATGAGGAAGAGGATGGATCAGGGATGTCTCTGGTTTCTCATTCAAACTATGGGTGGTGCCATTTAGTGAACTGGAGAAAAAGGGGTTTGGAGAGAGAAACCAAGAGTATGGGTCACATCAAGTTTGAGATGTCTGTTAGGCATACAATTAAAAATGTCAATCAGGGGCCTCCCCGGTGGCGCAGCGGTTGAGCGCTGGGTTGTGTAGCTGCCCGCAGCCTCCGCAGCGCCGGTTCCATCCCCGGCTGCTCCCCGGCCACCAGAGGAGGGTCCCACATGGCGCGCAGACCTGTCCTGCCGCCCGCTGCTCCCCTCAGCAGTGTACTTCGGTCCTTCTGCCTGCTCTGCTCCCCGCTCTGGCTCTGGTGAATTCTCTCACCCTCCCGCGCTTCTGACTGTACCCAGTGCTTATATGTATAAACAAACAAATAAATAAATCTTTAAAAAAAAAAGTCAATCAGGTTGATAGATAATGGTGTTTATTGCTCAGAGACAAAGTTATTGCTAGTGATTTAAAAATTAGGAGTAGGGCCTCCCCGGTGGCGCAGCGGGTTGAGCGCCACGCTATGAAGCTGTCCGCAGCCTCTGCAGCGCGGGATCAATACCAGCGGGCCGGCGAGAATCCCACATAGCGCAGCAGACCTCTCCTGTTTTGCCAGCTGCTCCCCTCAGTAGTTCCTTTGGCCCATCTGCCTGTTCTGATCTCTGCTCTGTCTCTGATGAATTCGCTCACCCTCCCGCGCCTCTGACTGTATCCCAGTTCTTGTATAAATAAATAAATCTTTTTTAAAAAATAATTAAAAAAATAAAAATTAGGCGTAATTACCTTGTCAATGACATTAAAATTCATGCAAATGGATGAGGTCAAGAAAGAGAATAAAGTAAGAGTTTGCCTTGGGGAACTCTAAAATGTAAGCTGGATGGAAAATTAGAAAAGTAGGAGGAAAGGAAAGGGAACAATGCTGTTGGTCCTTGCGTGGTGTAGTAGACTGTGTCCTTGGCTCCATGCCTAAAATATGAAAGCATTCCTAACTAGTCAGGATTCTCCAGAGAAACAGAACCATAGAAAGACAGGCAGATGACAGACAGAGGGATATATAGAATATATAGATATAGCTATACTGATAGATCAGAAAATAATTCATCATAAAAAATGGCTTATCTTGTTATGGAGGCTGAAAGCCAGTGGTGTGATGCAGTGTGATTCCAAAAGCCTGAGACAGAGAGAGGGGTGTGGATAGGAGGGAGGCAAGGAGGAAGGGAGTGAAAATTTGCATTTCCTTTGCCTTTTTATTCTTTGCCACCCTACCCCATCACCACCCATCCCCAGCCCATGAATTGGATGATGCCGTCCATTTTGGTGAAGGTAGATTGTATCTTCTTTACTTAGCCTACTGAATAAAATACTAATCTCTTCCCAAAACACTCTTACTCTCATACCCAGAAATAATGTTTTGCCAGCTCTCTGGGCATCAGTTAGACCAATGAATCTGACACATAAAATTAACCATCATAGGGAGTATAGCCTTTCTATGAGACCAAAATAATGTGGCTCAAATGATCCAATTCTCTACACTTGAGTCACCCACTTCCTAAAGGTCAGTTCCTTAGCTCATTACAGGCTAATTATTTTTTTAAAACCCCTGTCTACATGGGGCAAAATTGAAAAGGCAGTAAGTGAACATAAGCTAGTGGCAGTTATGTGGACAGCTACTCCTACTCATCTCTTTTTGCTTGTTGTGGTCATCACAAATGTGGCCCTAATTATCCACGTGTGGCTAGGACTCTGGTCACCTACAATTACAGTTGATGAGTCCATCTGAATATCACTTGAGAACTGCATACTAGTAGGTATACTCCTGATAACAGCAATGTGATATTGGACATTTTATCCCCAGGATAAAACAAGCAATTGTTTGACTCCAATCCAAATACTAACAAACATGCATGTACACTAATGATGTTTCCAACCAAAAGGTAACCAGATGAAAAGGAGTAGTTTTGAAGCGATCTCATGAAAACAGGAAAAGCAGCACTGCCTGAAGAGTGTGTGAGAGGGGTCGGGAGTGCCTGAGCATAAGTCATGAGAGGAGAACCATGGTGAGCAACAACCCCAATTTCAAAATGGGGCATTTCCAAGCACATGAGAACTAATGGGCCTCTAGAGACTAAGCAGTCCACCCCCATCACTGCTCAACCGAGGGAGTGAAAACCCTGGGAGTTGGGGGGTAGAAGGGAGGAGGAGTGGGCAGTGCACTCCTAATGTTGTTGTATTCACTCAGCATGCATTCATTGAGCTGTGTGTTTAGCACAGCTAAAAAATAGGTGGAACAAAAGATAGGCGGAACTGCAACAAGAAGAGAGAGAGCTATAAACATATAGCTATTAACCAATAATAAAGGAGAGAATGTGGTCCAGTTCTCTAATCTAGTTGTGGCTGCTGTGAGACAAGAGGCCTGCGTGTTCCATCTTCACTAAAAACCTACATCTGGCAAAGTATGGAGGGGGCTCAATGGACTACGGTGGAGACTGTGCATGTCTTGGTGGTGGGTGTGGTTTGGTAACATCTGAAGGTGTTTTCCTATACACCTGCATCATATAAAGTGTGGTAAACCAATTTTACCTCAATTAAAAAAAAAAAACAAAACCTCCTGGGGCCTCCCTCGTGGCTCAAGGGGTTGAGCACAGCACTGTGAATCTATCTGCAGCCTCTGCAGCACGAGTTTGATCCCTGGCCAGGGAGCTACCCACATGGTGCTGCAGACCTCTCCTGACTTGCCCACTGCTACCCTCAGCAGTATATTTCAGTCACTCTGCCGGTTCTGTTTCCCACTCTGTCTCTGGTGAGTCCTCTCACCCCCTGCACCTCTGGCCTGTATCCTGGTTCTTATATGCGTAAATAAAATAAATCTTTAAAAAAAAAAAAACCCTCCATTTGGCTCTCTACCTACAACATGGCAGAATAGAGAGGTTTGGATCATGTCCCCTAAACATATGTACGTATATGCTCAAAGGAAGATGCAGAGGATTGCCACCAATGGTTTTTATGTGAGGTTGGTGGCCTGCTGTGGTGGGATGGTGAGGGAGGAAGTGAAAGGGGTCACAGTGAGGGCAGCAGAAACCCTGCTTCCTGGGACAGGGACTTTTCAGAAAGGGAATGCACACATGCATAGGGCTGGCCCAGGTGGATTGCTTGGCCCGTGCGGTCAAAGAAAACCTTCCCATCCTCCCCACCCCACAGTGCAAAGAGAACAAAAAGACTCCAGATAGAATCATACTGGTCTAAGTTGAGGAGAAACTGGCAGTGGACAGAATATGCTGGAGCACTCTCTCCCCTTCCCTTGGAAAGAGCCAAGTGAGTGCATCACAGCAGATTGTAGTCCCTAGCCTGGTGCACCAGTCCAGTGTCAGCCAGTGCTGGGCGTCACAAGGCACGCAGCCTGCATGGGGGTACTCCCTGCCTGGCATTACAAGGCCAGCTGTGTCCCACAGTTTGTACCCTGTGTACCATACCTAGCTTCCCTTGTCAGATGACTCAACTAGGTGACACATGGCCTGTCACAGAATGAAACAGGAAGGAGGTAGGGCAAAAATTTAGGATCCTTGAAGCCTGATTGGAGCTTGCTTTGGAAAGAGAAGAGGCAGAGATGATCTATTCACCTGAAGCTACACTTCACTCCTGACCAAGGCTGAGACTGAATATTTAAGTCCAAACCTCTCCCTTCACCTCGTGCCAAAGTAAACGAAGAAGAGAATCAAAACTAAACTTGAAACACTCCAAATGGCAAAAGAGCAAATAAGGCAACACGCATGCCTAGGACGCAAGGAACATCTGAACACAAGATAGAAAAGCAGAAGGAGAACAGAAGTCTAAGACATATATAGAAATAGAGGACCTAGCAGACAAAGACTAAATTC